TCTGCTCTTATCAGTTTATGTTTTATGTGCGAAGGTGGATGTCTTCGAACTACTTGTTGCGGGTTTCATATAGCTTTTTCAGTTTCTGTTATCTATCGTTTATATTTAAATTGTGACATGTATCTGAAGTCAAGCTTGGGCGTTTTAGGTGTCAAACCAACGACGGGCATCGGGTAGCCCCAGCGAAGGACTGATGATTAATTTCGACCATCTGGGGATCTTTTGACATGCAACCCAAAAGCTCAGTTACGCGGCGCCTTCTCCGAAATAAGCCTCCGTCAGATTGCGGGGACCTCGGCCGGGATTCGAACCCGCCACATGGGGATCCGTAGGCCGGCGCTCTCGCCTCGGAACCACCGAGGCGGCTGACATGTATTTGAATGTTTGATATAGTGATGTTTTTGGTGTGCCTTGTGTTCACAACTTTATATAATGTAAAATAGTTTGGCGGTACGTAAGAACAAATAATTTACGTGCCCATCATTTATAAACCAAGGCCGACTCAAAGAACACCATCTAGAGCCAACGTTAGAAGCTGTTGCGGCAAGCCTCTGGGGAGCAAGAAACTGCATGACACTCCACGCAGTCACTGGAGTTCGGCAAATGACGTGCTTGCTTTTGCCTTTTAGAATATTGACGGCACCGGAAGTAATTCAACTTGCAGTACACCGAGTGCTGCATAAAATAAAAGGCGTATCTCTTGTCAACGAGATTCTAGTTTTGGAAAAAAGAAAAAAAAACACAAGAGAAGCACAGCGAAAATATGAGAATAATACTGAAGTGTTGAAAATAACAGAACCTGAAAGTCTGCGAGAAAAAGTGCGTGTTTCTGTTGGAGTACCCCCAGCACTTACACGTCCGCAGATAACGAACGACTCCAATTGGGTCCCAAGATACTTCAAAGACAATTTGGAAGTAGCTGAAGCTAAATAGAATAATTATCTGCAAATATTCTTTGGAATGGTTAATTCCAAACGGAATTTATACCAAACATGTCAAAAGTTAACACTACGCTGCAAGTAATTAAAGGAAAAATCTATAATATATTTTTTTTTAACTGAACGGGTATAAATGCCCCCCAAAGCTTAGAAAAGTGGCAGCGTATGAAAAACACACTGTCAAGACCGGTTGTAGCGATGTCGTTTATAACGAAATATCGGCTAAAGTGAAGCACTCACAATTTCCCCTTCCGTTTTTTTTTTTCGTTTATAACGAAATATCGGCTAAAGTGAAGCACTCACAATTTCCCCTTCCGTTTTTTTTTTTTTTTATGGCATTTGTGTCTGTTCAAGCAAAGGAAACTGAGCAGCTCCCTCTGATACATAGACCAAAAAATTGGGATAATTAAAAAAAGAAAATTTAGAAAAGTTTGCTAAGTCTCAGACCGCCGCACTTTTCTGCCGCAGCCGAGCAGCCACCCAGAACGGGCCGCAGACGACACTGCAAATACCGCCGGCGGCAGCTTCTGCATCGTCGTCTGCTCCCCAGTACTCCTTCTCTGGGAAGCGGCTTTTCCGCATTGCGCGTGATGAGGTCATCGTGGCATGCCGATAGAGGCGGTCGGAGCGCCAGCGACAACCTACGGCGGAGATGTTGGGGAGAGAAAGGAAGGAGCTCCAACCATTGTGAGCATTTGCAATTTAATGGCAGACGCCTTGTGGCAGCGTTACTAGAAAACTCAATTGGTAAACTGCCATAGGGCCTGCTTCGAAAAAGTGGATCCGATCCGTACTTTAGAACCGAACTAAAGGCGATCGCAATGCCGCCATTTCTCCCGCAGCGGCCATTTCGGGAACTGCACGATTGCATGTATTGGCTAAAGCGCGATACACATGGACAGCAAAATCGTCCGATCCGACGTCCGAACGCCGCTCCGAATCGCCGCACGCGACAGTTAGAGACACACGCTTCCAACCTTGTATGCGACACGACGATCCGTTCGGCTCCGCCCAGGACCCATGGAGATCCAAGCGTTCCAGCGGACTCCGGAGGTCATCTCTGGTCTCAGATTGACGGTTCAGCTCGCACGAGCGAAATTACGAGCTCGTTCTCAATAGCGCGTGCATTCTTTGCTGGGGCCATCTTTCTCGAATGGGTCAGCCGGATTCACGCGACCGGCTTCCCCTCGCCCGTCCCGTTATCGCGTTCGCTTCGTCCCGCCAGACCAAGTACGTCATCATGACGTTCGCACTAGCTGTGCTGTCATTGGCTAGACGCATCCGACAATCCGTCCGCCGTGCGAAACTATCTGGCGCGTTGGACGCATGCCGAATCGCCGATCCCACGTCTGAAGCGACCAAACTTTTCGTATCAGGCAGTCGTACTGCCGGATCGGACGTCGGATCGGATGGATTTTCCGCGCATGTGTCTCGCGCTTAAGGTTGAGTCGCGCATAGGCCAGTGGCGCCATCTTGCAGTGCCCTTTCGCAGTAGCTATATAAATCAACTTCCATGTTTTGACTCCTCGCAAAAGGGCAGCGCTGTTATCGATTTAGTTTGCTCTCGGTGGACGCGAGCGGTCCAGGTTTAAGGTTGAGTCTCCCAACGTAGTATTTTAGCAACGTTGCCTCCTTGACAAATTGGAGCAAGTACACCTGCATGTGATTGTCGCGTTGCCAGTGTAGCGAGGAAACTAGGCGTTGATGCGGACGCGTTTCCAGAAGTTGAACGCTTTTGAGTTTTGGATGCAATCCTTGCATGCTGCAGCTCGTTCTGCATACGCGGCTCACAAACCACGTGACCCCAATCGAGCTGTTGTCCCATCTCTTAAATCTAGGCTCTTTACTATACCGACGAAACACTGGCTTGAGCGAGAACTCGGTACAGTGCGCGCCTCGTTGTTTGCTTCGTGGTCCGTGTTGGCGTCGCTGGTCGGTGTGGTCGCTCTTGTGCGAAAGTCTACTTCGCTCAAGCAGCAATTCTGCGAATCATTGCAACTCAACGCTGGAGAGTCCCGAAACCGCCGGCACGACGACGGGGAAGACTAAGGCAATCTCCTTGAAACAAAAGCGTCCCATCCTCGACGAAGTGCCCATAAACGTAAAGAATGCCGTCCACCGCCGGCGTCCTCTACGGCGGCCGTCGCTGCTGTTGATACGATTCGTACGTAGCTCGCAGGATCTTTCCTCGATCGGAGCTTTTCGTAGTTGACGAGAAGCGGGTCCGATCTAGCAGGCAGCAAGGCAGAGAAGCCTTGACCGCTTTCTGCAGGCTCGATCAACATGTGCCACAAAAGGCCAGTGCGATTATTTTTTTTTTTTTTTTGCGTGGTACTTTTGTGAGTTTTGATATAACGAAGTAGCCGGTAAAGCGAAGTGATTTCCAAATCCCGTTGACTTCGCTTAAGCCGGTCTCGGAAGGACTTATCGCTTTCATCGTAACGCCAGTCAGACAGGTGTAGGTGGAGTGATTTACAAAACGGACTGCCACTAGCATATTTGTCAAGTTCCCTCACAGAAACCCAGCAGTTAAAAGCACGCGACCAGATTAATTAAAGAAGTTTGTAGTCGAAGGAATTCATAAAAAAATTGAGATTGCAGATTTGCCAGCACGCGACCAGATTAATAAAAAAAGCGTACAGTCGAAGGAATTTCTAAAAAAAAAAAAAAAATTAGATTGCAGTTTTGCCAGCAAAACATTCCTGTTGAGTGCATTCACAAAACTCTAGAGTCGGTCTTCAAAAACACTTTGTCCGTTTTCTGAAAAAAATAGCTTAAACCTGCATGACTATTAGATAACGCCAACAAACAACAAAAAAATACGTTTTTTGTGTTTTTTAACGTTAACAATTTGTCACTGTTTCCGACCACAGCCCGATTTTGAAAATCGTCGGAACATTTACATAGGTATGTTATTGATTATCTTTGTTTTCTGTATTAACATAAAGTGAACGTTGCGCGGGAAAGACACAAGAATGCGACAATGGTCCAAACTGACGGCATATGGGATAAAAGAGCGGAACTACGGCCGGAACAGGCGAGATTACTTATGAAACACTTCGAGTTTTGCCGTGTCTTGGAAGAAAAACAGTCAAAATCAACTGATTTTGTAGTCGAAGGTCTGGTTGCAGGAAGGGTAATGGCATTTCTGGGTTTTCAAAGCATCAATTCCAAGGGCGGCGTTTTGCAATTACCGCCTTCCAGGCGTTGGTGTGGAGTGCTTTTTGATAGTAAAACGAGTTACGAAAAATTTAATTTTATAAATACTAGTCATTGCAGCGTCAAGACGAGTCTTCCACACCCATTTCCAACTTGACATTCAAAGGAGCAGTTGATACCATCCGTGCTGCAGAAGTCGCGCTTTGAGTCCTTGAATGTCTATAACACACCTCTTTGTAACCTACCGATAACGAAAGTGTTGGGTTCCCAATAGATGCCCGTGCTGGAGTATTGTTACAGAGATAAGCGTCCGGCAGGTGTAGAGAGACGCACGTTGACATAATAAAACCGGGTGATTTTATGGTGGCAATGTCGTGCGCGTTGGCCAAGCACGCAATTATGTTGCGCACCCCTGCCGCAGCGTCGTCGTCGGCATCGTCATATCCCCCCCACACACACACATACGCACACACCTTGAAAGAGGACGACCCGGATGATGAATAAAGAAAGCTCGAGGTCAAATAGAGAAGCAGACACACGCACAAACACGAAACAGAAAAGGTGAGGTCCCAGATGAACGGCGGACTGCTGCCCGGCCGCGAAATATGAAGACGTGTTGCTGTTCGATGGCTGGTATGCGCTCTTCTCGCGCTACTGACCTCAGCAAACAGCCACAGCGTCACGCCGGCACGCTCCGGGCTGGGGAACTTGAGGGATATCGTCAGAACACTGGGCTGTGGACAATGCAGGGGATCGTCGATTCTCGCCATTGTCTGATGTCACAATCATCTCTTAACCTTAAACAAAGACGAATTTTGTTGAAAAACTTTTTAATTCATCTAAATGCGAACTTACCGTTCTTTTATCCTCACAACATTAACGAATTACATTTCTTTTTACCAGGTTGCTTTGCCCAAGCGAAATAAAAAAGATGGTGCCAAAAGTACTGAACCCAAATGGAAGCTTTGCCGGCATGGCTAAGTTCTTGATGGGAGCAGCACAGCGACTGGGTCTCGAGCTGCCGAAGCACGCAGCTGTAATGCCAGATGCCCTTGACGCCGTCCTCGTCCAGAAAGAGAATGGTTTACAAATTCCACCGTGGTTTGAGCAGCAGATCAGCACCCTTTCTTACGTATCTCGAGGACTCTACGTTCTGATGGCTCAAGCTTTTATAAAAAACATGGGAGAACAATTCCTCAGGTAGGAACGTCTAATATAGCTTGCACTTTTTTTTCCATTACGGATGTATGTAACGCATGCGAAGACCCAAAGAGCAGCAAACAAAGGGTTGCACGTTATTAATAATTAAGAACTAAAGGGACCTAACTGACCCCGTCAAGAAAATAAACTGTGCTCACTTTGTGTGGAAGAGATAGGCAGGGAATTATTGCGAATTACTTGTCTCCCAGCAAACGACGAACCTTGGAATACGATTTGTCCTAAAAATGTGCGTTGTACTGAGCTTGTGAAATGTCATTCTTATTGTCTGTGTACATCGGGTTTTTCAAATTTAATTATATTTAGAATATCGCCACACGCTTTCAAAAATACTTGGTTTACAACGGTGGCTGATTTGGCGGGTAGTGAACGCTATGTTTTTATTAGAACGTTTAGTTTATACGAATGTAAAGCTTTCATGCTACGTACATCAAAGAAGGTCCTATCATGGAAAGCTTTGACGTTTACCACATTTAGGGTGCACTATTATATGTAAACTAGAAGTAGCCGTGACATAAAATTGAGAACGAAGTTTTTTTTTTTTTTGTATTATAATTACTTCTCTCATATTCCTTCATACCCATAGAACTAGGTTTAAAAATGCATGCTACAACAATGTAATTTACTGTAAACGCGTGACTGCAGGTAGTGAAATTTCTCAAGAAAAGGTAAAAGGAAACGCTCCTCAAATCAAAGCAAATAATAAAAGACTGACGTTTTCTATTTTCGGTTTTTGTTGAACATTTAATTTTTGTCTCAATGCGTTAATTCAAGTGAGCAACAAGAAGCTCAGGAATATGAATAAACTAGTTTTTACAGGAAGACTAGTCGAAGTTACTACCTATTACAATATTCCAGTTGTGTAAAACTTTCGCATTCGGTAGTTATAACGTCACAACATCGAAAATTCCAATGTTCCTAACTTTGCTTTATGACTTGTCAAGGATTATCAAACTAATTAGCAAAAAGTTAATCTAGTGAAAACACGACAGAAATAACATAAACGTAGAACTTGAAAGTGAACTATTGACGCATATCTGTCTGGCTGGGACAAGGCTCATTAAAAGGGGGGACGTCCAAGTAAAACCATTTTGAGACCCAGCGTTTTGAGGCCCATTGGGATTCTTCTTCAGAGCTGACTGGCGATGGCAGTTGAGGGAAATATTTCGTTTTTCTTTTGTCTTCTTTTATGATGGTGCATTTCTCAATAGGTTGTTGATATAGCGAAGGTCGTTGAGCGGAATCGGTGGCCGAGTGGGCTAGCAAACACCAGCTCGGAGCACATGGAGCGAAAGCTCGCGCTGCGTTTCCATCCCCACCCCTGCCCGTTCCGATCTTGTTGAGCATTGTACCAACAAGAGGTCGTGTATTACTGCTGCGTGATGCACGTTAAAAACCCCAGGCTAGCGGTCGTACTGCACTGGCCAAATTACTCATCTAAAGTAGGTGACAATAGCGCCATGCTATGGCAAACTAAACTCCCACTGCATATACAACTAACGACTAATATGTTTTGTTTTCGAAATGTGTTGACGTAAGTGGATTGTAAACTAGCGGTAAAGTTTTCTAGTCTTGTGTGGATGTCCCATGAAACGAACCATGCACGTGCAAACGACGATAGAAAGATCAATATGCCCCTGGGCGCTTTACCATCCGCCTACGTCAAGAAACTTTGCGATACATGACTTGCACGTGACGTCATCCAAAGGGCACTCCGATGGCCACCAGAGATAAGGGTAAGGAGGAGCTCCCCTGATACCAAGACCCTCGTTTTGTGTGTTCCAGATCTCTCCGGAAGTCGCTATTCTTCCCCCATAAGAATATAGAAGAATAACCTGTCACTGAAACTTCCCACAAAAGCAGCTTCCTTCTCTCTCTTTCTCTCTTTCATTGTGCCCAAAAGTACGCGATGTGACGTCAGTGCAAGGCATGAATTTGGAAGGAGATCCAACTCACGCATCCCTAGTGGCTAAAATGAGAACTACACCGATGGGAACAACCAGTGGCGCAATGGACAACAATAACATTGATGACCTGTTTGTGTTTTGACGCAGCGCACTGCCCAAGCAGCCGAAACTTTAGTCGGCGTTCGGCTGGGGCTCGAGTTTAATCATTGAAGCCGAACACGCACGGATGACTCATGAATATTTTACTTAATATTTATCGATTAAGCACCAAAAAATAGGGGCACAAACCATGCCAAATATTTGCTCCGTGCATGGTCAATAAAGACGAAGTAAAAAATGCAGTGTACATTCTTTTTGTATGTAAATACAGAACTCTGAGGAACACAAGGTGGACATGGCGACCCCTTTAGTTTGCTCTTGTCAATATCAACAGACCATAAGGAAATGTACCATCATAGAGGAAAGTAAAAACAAAAAAACAAAAATACTGCTTCTTAACAGCCATCGTTACAGCAACGTCACAAGGGGGTGTCAGTTTGGGAACTCGAGCCGCGTTCATCGGAGGAGCGCTGGCCGCTGCGGTAGCTGACAAAATAGTGGCGCTGCTGTCGCCGTGACATCGGTTGTCTCCTCGCAGCATGAAGCGCTCCACCAGATCCGGCGCGAATTGTTGATGAGGACTTGCGATTGATGACCGTCGGTGACGTGGGAGTAATGACGATTAACGTTGTCGAGCTGAAAATGCGAATCGCACATATAGTATTTCTACGTGAGCGTGAATATTTTCCCAGGGATCGCGTTCTGCTATACCTCCAAACGCAAAGCATCCTTCGGTGTGGCAAAGAGCTGGCACTTCTCGTCCCTTTTTGACACCTGTGATTAGAACACGCTACGACAGCCGGGAGCGCAACAGGTAGGCGTGTTTTCTCATTTATTGGAGAGCGACTCGATCACGGTGTAGGAAGGCTCTTTAGGTGTGGAGACTCCGCTCTCCGCCGCGACCAGATAATGAAACCCCGCGCGCTTGGTTTCACCGAGCCACCCACAGATGGCGCCGTAAGTTTCAGGTCATCCGGCAGCGCACCGGGCCGCTTGTGCAAGCTGCCTGCTCGGCGTGCAGCTTGCTTTCCGGTGGCTACGGGTTCGCGTACGATGTGGTATGTAGGTGGGGCCATTCAACTATCATCTCTTTCAGCACACTGAAGTTTTCATAACCCAAAGAATGGCAGACGGACAAACAAGAGATAACTCCCTAATACGAGCTGACGCGGCGGTCTACGAGTGAAAAAGAAATATTCCTCTCCTGTAGATAATTTCTAGCCTAGCTTACGTTCCGTCGTTTGTTTCCTCAGTAGCGCAATTGTAACGTCGGGAAGTGTTTGTAAAATGAATAAACTCTGATTGTAGCGCAGTTAAACAATAACTTGAGTGCGACCGAAAGAAAAAAAGATGCACAAAAATGAAGAATCATTAACACAAACCTTGTTAACGGATAATAAGGAACTGAATTGCTTTAAGCACCGTTCACATGACTTTTCTATATATATATATATATATATATATATATATATATATATATATATATATATATATATATATATATATATATATATATATATATATATATATATATCAAGTTCACAAATTACCTTTGATACAACTCGACTATTAAAAAAAATTTTTTTTAAACATAGCGCCATTATTATTTTACATTTTAATGCAGCTTTTAAGTCCTGCTAAATTGAACTGCTGGCCGAATGGGCACGAAGTTACACATTTTGCACGCAGACATTAATGAAAACAGCATTCTTTGAAAGGTTCACTTTGTTACTACACTTACAGTTGCATGTAGCAGATTGCAGCAAAATATTATAGTAACCACACTCGTTCGTAAAGCAAACCGGTTTTATTAATGGCACTTCTGACATAAGTATAATAATATTATCATCACAAACTTAAAAAAAAAAATCGCTGTAAAAAAAACCGCGGTTAAAACAGTGTTTAATGTATGGCACACTCTATATCTGCTTTTGGAGTTCTTTTCCACATTACGAGTCGCACAGTCGGGACTCATTTTTCTTTTCTCGAGACTGCTTCTTTGCATCTCGGTTTTTACCTTTGCAGTCCTGTCACATTCTCATGCGATCCGAACCCTTTTGCACGTTCGACCGAAACTAGAGAAGCGTCTACCTTTCACGGAGGCGTCTGCATTCCACGAGAACGCCAGACAGAATCCGACCCTGAACAGATGGGCAGTCTCTTGTGTCTGCATCTACCGCATGCAAGACAATCCCCTACGAGGCTCCTTCAATTTGGAGAGAACAACGACCTAGCATGTGACTGATCCATTCGGCAGACGTCTTTATCCTGATTGTCTCTTTTACTAATATTTTCATGTCGTTGTTTCCCTTTCTAAAATGTTTACGTTTCCCCAGGCAGGAAAGCAGTCGGCGCATTCATTCAAATGTTTGGCTTTGGATCTTTGGTTTTTACATTTCTTTTATGCTCGGTCCACCATTGAAAAAAAAAAAAAATAAAAAGCGTTGAAAACAATTAGAGGCGGCGTAAGCAATGGGTGACTTAGCCCACGTTCCGGCGGAGGGCCGGCGTCCGGACGGCCTGAACGTTTTGGCGCCCTCTAGGGGCAGGCGGAGAAAACATAGGAAAGCAGGGGACGTGAAGTGTTCGCCGTTCCGACGGGGCGAGGAGAGGAGTCTCTACACCTAAAAAGCCTTCCTACACCGTGGACTTGATGTTCGCGGCACCAGAAAATAAAGCTTACGAGCCTACAATGAGCCACCGATGAGACGAGCGAAAACACAAGGAAGATCGACGACAACGAAACATGCCGAGAGTCGATCCTAGGGCGTCCACAGTGCCACCTCTCGTGCGCTGTACGATGTTGTGTTGTGTTGTGGCAGTAGCAAGCTGTGCGACCGCCACGATGTTGTGTTGTGTGTTTATGTTGTGATGTGCCCTGTGAGTGTCTTTGAAACGATAGTTGCCTTGTCCGAGCGCGCCATGAGCAGCGTCACGCGCCGGAAGACGGGGAGCGGGCAAACGGAACGAACCGGTCGCT